TCAAAAAATTACAGCAATGTATACCTCCTAATCCTGGTCTCAGGCGATTATCATAACCATCAAGTAGTCTGTCCAGAATTCGAGTGAATATCGTTGTGTTGTCCTTAATTTCATCTTGTAAGGAAGTCTGTCCATAGCTGAAAAAAACAGTGCCATTAACATTATGAACAATTAATTCACCAACAAACCTATAAAATCATTGCTCTGATATCTGTTTCCTTTTGTTTATAGTGTAAAGCCTCTTCCATCATGCCAGATTGTCATAGTATTATAGGGTTATTTCTCCTATACATTATTTTTTCAAAGTATGCATATCCATTAAAAAGCTCACACCAAAAGACATGCAAGCCTTGAAATGGATGATTAGTTATCCCTTGATTTATTTATTTTTACACCTTAGTTCACGTCTGCAATATTTCCGCATTCTGCACTGCTTTTGTGAGTACAGGATAGTGTGTTTCTTTACTAAACCTCAAAATGGTTTGTTTTATTGTGGAATTAAATGTGTCATGAATGACATTGGTGGAGTATCTAAATAAGCCCAAAAAAATCAGCTTGCGATTTGAAAGCTCAGTCCTGAACATACAGGAAGTATTTTAGTATCGTAACCAGTGATTCCATCTTTACATTATAAATCCCTGCCCACATCCCTTCAGATGCCTTAGTAACATATGTAATCAGATTTTTTAAAATTAAAATAAGATTTGTCTTCTTTTGCTTCTTGTATTCCTTTAGAAAAGCCCTTGGAAACATACCTCAATAATTTCCTTGTGACCAAGAAACCATATTTTGAGATAACATTAGATGTTTTTTGTATTTCTCCAAGATTTCTCCAAGACCCAAACATCTGCACCTACTGACTGCAGTACAGAATAACACTCTGGCAAGTTCAGTATAATTATTTGACTTTTATATGTGGCAAGTTCTGGGTTCAGGTTTATAATTATTCTATATTAGCATAGCAAAAAGTGTTCATCAGTGGTTTGTGTATTCAAAAGTTAGTATGGTTTTCTTTCCTCCAGACTGCAATTTAACAGTAGTATATAAATTTCTCTAGCAAATTGTTTCTGTGGGTTTGCCATGGACATGAGCTAAATTCTGGTCTCAGATACCTCAAGTTCCTTGTGATTAAGAGAATGATTCCCCTTCTGCACTCTCAAGTACAAGTCATGCTGTTTTCTCCTAATCATCTATCATGGTTGTCTTAGAGCCAAATTTTTGAGTCCTTCTTCTGTCCTTTAGCTGGGAAAGCTCCTATTTGCAAAATGGGACTTTTGCCAGAGTAAACTCAGCAGGACTTAGCCCTTGAACCCCAAGCTACTTTCCTCTTGATCACTTTGTCACATACATTATTACTGAATCAGCCTTCCTTACATATCTGGTGTGATAAGATTCACAGGGATATCTTTTCCAAAACCTCTTGGGAAGTGTGTTTTCATGAATGCTAACAATGGAATCAATGTTTTGTAAACTCCACTTATTCTGACCAATCATCATCAGTTTTAACAAATATGTATAGTATGATGTTAAACTATCATTAAACCTTCATCAGTGTCTAGATATCCATGTTGCAAAGAGCATAAATATAGAGAAGAATCAATTTCTATATCCTATTTCACGGATGGAAAATTCTGTCCAATCGTCTTCTTTTTTTCAAATAAATGTGTAATTAACAACCCCAAAATGGAAACGGTGTTTTTCCTTCATAATTCCAGTGAGAGCTCAATACAAATAGATGTATCACTTATATTCCTGCAATTTACTACTTCAAATATACAGAAATATATATTCTGTTTTATATATGTAATAATTAACAATAAGATGTTTTCTCTATGTAGAGTAATAAAGCTTTTCTAAAGTAATGTAATTATAATCATAAGAATCCATTTGCAAACTGGAGGATACTTGCTTAATTCCCTATTATTTTTTAAGCATCGGAATTTTTTTTTCGGAAGAGAAAACTTTCTAATTCTTGAAAAACTGTAAAATTTGTTGTTCAACAAGTATATAAGATTAATCAAAGATTCAACAAAAGCTAGGCCTCTGCAATTCCATCATGTCAACGACACCTTTTCTGTAACATTTGAAGGTCATTTTGTATGTTAGAAAATACACATAAGCATGCCTTCAACAGCCTTAATTGGTGGAGGTTTCCATGCAAAAATGTATCAATTTTTGTTCAGACAAAAAGATCCCATTCAAATGTTTCACTCAACAGAAGTGCAGGATCCAGCTTTTCCTAAATGAAGTACCAGTTTTGAATATATTTAGTCCAAAAGTGCATTATCCACAAGCAGTATGATGGCTAAGTGGTTATACTGTACACATGTCAACAACATCTGTTTCTTGGGAACCCAAGTGCTGCTGAACTTCCACCTCACTTTTGAGGTGAGAGGAGGTTAGAACGATGGTCACAGTAGTAATTCTTTGCTATGTCTCATTGAATACAAAGGAGATTTAATGAACAGTGAAAGCCTTAAATAATATTGATTTCAATGTGTGTATTATGATCTCTACAGTTTGTCCACTACTCTTGCAATAAGTACATAAAGACATCTAAATTCCAACATGATGTACTAATAACAGTGCAGTAGGGATTCTGCCTATTTCTGATTGAAATGGTATATGTACACAAATTTAGACTTCTACTTTTTTTCTGGATAAACACCCTATCTCTTTTCTCCATGAATAGGTACATAAAAATAGCAGGGATAACTTGCTCAGATATTATAAAAGAAAACCTTTAAAATGCAAAATTACAAATAATTCCTTATGTTGTACATCTTAACAAACTATCACAAGCATTGGTAGTATTTATAAACAGTGCTACCTGATTACAAACAGGTGACTTTTGGTTACATGTGACTTTCGCCCATTGTGTAAGCAAGCCATAAGCCAAACCTGGATGGGCAAACATTTTATTTCAGAAATGATTGTTTTCAATGTGTAGTTTGAACATGTTGAAGGAAAATGTCAGTTACTGTGTTTGTGGTTTCACTCTAAACAACTGTGTAATAAAACACTGTGCACTAACTCCATCTACAGGTCATTATAATAGTGACAACCTCATGTAATTTTTCAAAGGCAAGCAAATGGACCTCGATTCTCACTTCCAAATCAACAATGCAGATGAAACATACATGCCATCACATGACATGGATGATATGATCACATGGGAGAAAGATAGCCAAGGTACAATTTCATTTTCCTTTTATTTAGGAAAACATGATTTTAAAATAAATAAATAATGATTTACACAAGCTAATGCTGTGCACATCTTTTGTTGTTGTCTATTTTCTTGTCCTTTCCCTTGAGAAGAAATGCTGAAGATCAGTTTGATTATTCCCCACCATCTCAGTTCTACACAAACACACATTTTTCCTTAACAAACTATCACAATGCTTTAAATGTTGCTGAATAAAGGATGTGGATCAGATGACACATATTCCGCATCATTTGCAGTTCAGAGTCAATGTTCAGTGATCCGTTATTGATAAAACTATAATCTTAGGTCCATTTGGCAGTTTAAGAGTTCTCCCTATATCCCATTCAGTATATTTAGGATGTCTCTTTTCTATGATGCCAACAACAAATCTCTGCACTGGGTATGAATTAACATAGCATAATTTGACTCAAAATGTTCAATTAATAAGTCAAGTTAAGGTACTTAGTGAATATTGCTGATGCTTTCAAATCCAATATTGATTTGAAGTGTAAGCTCTGTTTTAATAAGCTAGTTGGAGGCACTATTAGTATTAATAGGCCTGTCCCATTCATTTCAGTGAGGCAGAAAAAAATCAAGAAATCCACATATAAATTGCTAAAAGGAAGCTATGTCTTGCACGTTTTCTGCTATATACTCTTAGCTGCACTTAAATCATTAATCAAGCCTTAGTGTGGCTAGTCTTTCCTGAAGCCTTTCTGAACAACATTGCACTACAGATGTTTTTTTTCAATCTTCTCGTATTTTGATTTAGCTGGGATTTGAGCAGGATTAACTTCCCTCAAATGCACTTTAGTAGTAGCCCATCCCATGTGTTGCCTGTTTCTCTTGTAATGTTTTTTTAAAAAGAGTTATAATGGGTATGTTTGCTTGTTTGTTTTTAAAAAGCTCTTTTCCCACCTTCTTCCGGTTAGTGTGCTCATGAGGAGAGCACAGGCCCAAAGACGGTCATAGGGAAGAGTTGTCATCTTCATGGTAGATTAGGAAAACTGAAAATAAAATATTAAAAAAACAGAAGTAAATATTCCATGCTGTGAACATTGGAAATGACTTGAAATAAGTCTAAAATAAACATAGTTTGTTATAAGAAGAAGAAGGTTATTATAAGAAGTAAATGACAGTGTGCCATTCACAAGAAAAATAAAATGGCCCCATCCATTTCACACTTTCCACTTCTGGTTTTCTAGAGACTGGATTCTTCATTTAACTCAGTGAAACAACCTACATCTAATTTCTTTTATGGTTGAAGAGCCCTGATTATCTCAAAACTGCTTAAGAAGTTCTACCATTCTTCCCACACACACACACAAATGGCACTAACAATTTTGGGGGAGAATGTAAATATTATTTTAGCATTAACAAGAGAGAAACAATCCCTTGACTGTGTTAGTCAATGGTAGACAGGCTGTTCCCAGAGATTTTGAGGCTCTATAGGAGGTCTTATGAAAATAACTGTCTTCTGAAGAGATCTCCATGCTTGTCCTCTAGGTTACCAAGCCATTACACATGAAGAAGCAGTCCAGCATTTCAAAGTCTCATTCAGGATGTCTGTCTATGTACACCGAGACTTCCATCAATTTAAAGAGCATGCATCATAATCAAATCATGTGCAGATAATTGCATGCAGATTGCCCTCGCCTAAATCTTCAGGCACTCTCCCAGGCTGCTCGGAGGGCACCCCTGCTACACAGACTCCATTTTCTTTTACACTTTTTGGAGACAGCCCAGCCCCATTTTAATTTGGATTAAAAAGAGAGGTAGAGGGAGAGAGGAAGTGTGCCCCACTTCCTTTCTTCACCTCCGATCTCAAACTTGGATGATTTTTCTGGAAGCAATCTTCACAATTCAGTTTGCTTGTAGAGGCAACAGTGTTGCTGCCTGCCTCTTCCTCTTTCTGCCTAGTGCTGGAATCCACTCCAGTTGCTCTGCTCTGCCCAAGAATGCAAAAAGATGCATCCCGTTCTCCTGGCACTGAGACTATTTGGAAAACACTTTAAAAAACCCAAGCAATAACAAATAACCATTTTTAAACCAGCGAAAACGAGGAAGCAGACTATCAGACAACCGTTGCGAAACACCAGGGAACTGAGACTGTGTAAGAGAACAGATGTGTTTTGGAGTAGAAGGATCGGAAGCTAAAACACTAACAATGGTGAGCAAAAGACAGAGGGGTTTCTCCATATGGGCTGTAGGAGAACGGCGCGCACACACACACAGATCCTCATGGCTGTGAGTAGCACTGCTTTCTTTCCCTTGCAAAAGGAGCGTTGCATCTGTAGACGCAAAAAAAAAAAAGCACAAGCACCGTTTAAACTAACAACTTTTGCGCTCTTCCTCAGCCAAACGGTCATAAAATGCCAGTTGCCAGCAACTCGCTTCCCCTGCAATATTGTACTCTCACCCCACTGGGTTGAAATAAACGAACACAGAGAAAAATCACCAAATCGTCATATATGCTGTGAAGCAGCTGATAGAAAATGTACACACGCACATCAAATGCTCCCCCCCCCTCAAACGGCATTTCAAGGGGAGCACAATCCTATCCCACCCCACCCCGATATTTCGACCAGTTCCTCCGTGAAAGAGCGAGACGGAGAGGAGATACCCACACGCCTCTCCCATGCTAGGCTGCAAACAACCCCCCCCCCTCCCAGCACCGCTCAGAAAGTCCCCCCCCCCCCCCACCCCCACACCCCCAGCCGCCACCCCCCCCCCACCCCTCTCTTCACCCCCTTCCCAATGGGTGCAGTTATGATGATTTTCCCTCTAGCAGATCACTGAGCCCCGTCCCCCCCCCTCTTCCCCCTCCCCTTATCAATTGCCCATCGATCGCTGCGGATTTTCAACCTGGGTAGGGGGATGCGGTGGGGGTGGGGAATAAAGATGGGGCGATCACGCCGACGCTGTACCTGCTATGGGAGAAGAAAGCGAAATTAGACCCTTCCATCCACAAAGGCTCGTTCCCTCGCAGAGAGAGAGAGAGAGAGAGAAGAGCCTCCCCGGCAGATGCTAGAGCAGGCAAGCAAGCGACTGTTACCTAGAGACCCTCCGGGCACTGGCTCCTCGATGGACTGGACAAGTCTGCCCGAGAGAATCGCCTAAGAAGCCGCGGCTCGCGGGAAGGGAAAAGGGCGCCTTAGAGCGGCAGAGACTCTGCTGCTCTTCTCATTCATTCAGGCGCTCTCAGCCATCATGGACTCTGCCGCCGCTGTTGCTATTGCTGCCGCCGCCGCCGCCGCCGCCTGCTTCGCTCTTCGATTTTAACACCCCGATTTTCTTTGCCTGGGATTCAGATCGCAACTCGAGCCAAAAAAAAAAAAAAGGCTTTGCTCTTTACCAAGACAGTAGTAGTACGTCCCGGGGTAAACCGGATGTGAAATAGGCTGTGACTTCATGCCAGAGAGATTTTATTTTAGAAAGGAAGGTGGTACCAAGCTCTCATCTAGAGACCAATCCGCCCATTTTTTAAAAAATATGCAGCACGATTTAACTTCCAGCGCTCTCGCCCTAATCCTTTTTCTCTCTAGCTGCACACCCAAATCCTGTCTACAATCTGCGACTGTGATGATGATGATAATGTTCATTTGGGGATGGGGAAGGAAGGCGGGAGGGGGATATTAGGAGGACCGGAGGAGGGGGCGAAAGCTAACACTCTTCGGACAGATGTAATTGATCAAACAAGCTCTTTCAAAGGGTGGCGGGGTAAACAAAGTCACCTTCCACTCCCCCAGTTTCTCAATCCCCTTTCCTTGTTATTCAGTCTTTGGATCAAATATTCAATCGGCTCATAAATATGAATGAAGGGAAGCTGGGAAAAATTCAAGATCATGTGTGTACAGATATTCTGTTGAACAGAGGAGATGGATTGTATTGGTAGTTGAAGATGAAGGAATGGTCCACTTTAAGCCATCCAAGCCCTGTTTTCTCCACAGCCCCGAGCATAGGGAGGCGACGTATTTTTGTCTGAGGCGATCATTTCTGCATTAATGACAAGGCGAGGCTGGCTTTTGGGAGAGGGGTGGGTGGGGTCTAATGTCATGTTTGGACAGTATCACTTCATACAGACCAGCGCCAGTTCTGTTTCTGAATGAACGATTTACCTGCCTTTGCCAAATGGTGCAAGAAAGCGATTCTTTAATATCATTATGAATACAAAATCCATTTCCTGCTAAGCACCTTTTCAATGTCATGGCCAGTTCAAGGATGCATCAGTCACTGCCCAGCAGCATAATAACATCAGGTGGCCAATAAGACACAGCAATGCCCTATTGAATACTGGGCTTTCTCGAGAGATACAAGATGCACGCACACGTTCCCGTAGACAGATATCATCGTCCCTACTCTGCCTCATCTCCCCACTACCCAGCTGTGGGATACAGCGTCCGATTTTATGAATGGACGTGTTTACAGAAGCCACGTACAGCGGATTGGCGAAGGATATCGCTCTTCAGTTGCCATCACTTTCGAGAGTACTCTGTGCTGCTTTCTCCGTGGTGCTGGAAAGCATAAACGAAAAGGGCACGACTTTAAGTCGCGTAGTGGTAGTAAACTGAAATAGGAAGTTCTAGCCTTTGAGAGCACTGTTAACAGAGTAGCGTTTGCATAGTAACTGTATACATCTGTTGCAAGACTGGTAAGTGGGAACGGCTAAGAAAAATGGGTTTGCTGGCCTTTGGTCTCTGTGCAGTATCTAATTTCAGGGATGGCAGGTATACAGCAGTGGGTATATGTTTCTTGGAAGAGGGGTGGAGTGGGACTAGTGAAAGGAAGATTAAAATATGGAAATATTGATGTTTGTGTATGAATGAAAGTAAGAGACCATTAACAGCTTTTAGAATGTTTATGTGATGTTTTGGTAAGGGTTGTAAACAAGGGGCCCAGACCCTTCTTATTTACCAGTTCCATGACTTCAGACCAAAGAATGTTTGTTATCCTCCAAGATGGCTAAACTTATCCATTGATTTACTTAGAAGTTACTTCCACTTGATTCAAAGGGATTTAATCTCAGTTAAGTGGCATAGGATCACAGCTTTGGCCTCTCCAGACCAGATCCCAAGTATGGCTCTCTTTTTTTTAAAAAAAGTGCCTTTTCTTATCTACAAAATATACATGGATTTTGTATTCGTAATCCAATAAAATACCTATCAGCATGCTGTGCAATTGGTCTTACCATATTTAGAAGGAGGGCAAATCGTGAATTTGTTTTAAGTTCAGTTTCTGTACATGGGCACATCCCATGTGGGCAACAAGAGATGATAACATATGGAACAAATGGAGCTCTTTTCATTCTGGCTTTAAGATTCCAGTCCTGGGATATTTTAGGTTGTAGTGCAATCATGCACATACATGTAGTGCAAGCAGGCACATACCACACTTCCAAATTATCTTTTCAGAAGCTGCTCCCAGATAATTCCTACTGTTCTTTTTTTAAAAAAAGAATAATTCCCTGGAAGTCAGAGCAATTTCCCCCCAGCTCTCAAGTCAAATCCCTAAACTGCTCTTTGAAGGAGATGCAGACTGGTAAGTGGGAATGGTAATTTGAGCATTGGTAATTTGAGCATTATGACAATTCTGGATATATTCTTTTTGTCTTTCAAAAAAACAAACTCTGGAAAACACCAGTCACCAAATATTAGCTTGGATCTTACCCAAAGGCCTCACATAAGATTGCCTCATCAAATTTCCCCACACCCATCCCAGCCTTGAGAATTTGCTGTAAGTCACCTTTAGGTAACACTGTTCACTATATCAAACATGAACAGTGTGTGCACACCAAGAAGGTTTATCATTGGCTGTTGCTCAGCTGTGGAGCTAGTCAGAGACTTTGCCTGACTTTTTGAATTTTTTTTAAAAAACCTCTTTTTATTGTGGCCTTCACTGAAGATGGATGAGCAAAGAATCTTTCAGTGTTGTGCTCATTTTTAAAAATCTTATATTTTTCCTTGTTATTTTCAAAGCTACCAGATATTTCTAATGTTACCACCAACCTTGAACTGGTGGACTGGAGATGGTTTTAGAGTGAGTTTTTCATATCACTCAGTTGGGGCTTGTTAGTGCAGTGATGGGTTTTTGTTTTTTTTAAGAACAGAAAGGAAAAGGGCAGGGGGAAAGAGAGAGAGAAGCAACCTGGCTATAGCGTGCAAAGAAATAATGTGTCTATAATTCTCTGTTTACTAGTTATGATCAGTACAATATATCATTTGGCATCCTAACACAAAGTGTTATAATATATGTGTATAATATATATTCAGATTTATTTTTGTTAAGACACTGCTAGTCAGTTAGTTATGTTGATTTCAATCTGTCTGAGGAAAAAGAAACCCTCCATGGCAAATCCTTTCCCCTGAATTCCTTTCAGTACAGCTTATTTTAATACTGTATAATACGTGGGTAGCCCTCTTGGTGGTGGTGGAAAATGCCGTCAAATCATAGCCAACTTAAGGCAACCCATTGGGGTTTTCCCAACAAGAGACTAACAGAGGTAACCACTTCCTGCCATTGCCTGCCTCCACATCATAATCCTGGTATTCCTTGGAGATTTCCCATCCTGGTATTCCTAGGAGGTCTCCCATCCAGATACCAGCTAATCTGAAGAAGTGCCACCAAAGTCAGTGGAACTATTGTGAAATAAGGACGACCTGTTCTTGTAGAGTATTGTAACAAAACTCAGACTCACTGACCCAAATACTGCTCTACTGCCTAAATGCTGAAATAAGTAAAAGCCAGTTTAGTCAGTTTTTGGATCAGGGTTTTGGAGGTAAGAATCCATAACCACTTAAATTTTCAATAAAGTAAGTGTTGGGTATTACAAGTTGAAAAAACTCAGTATATCTGGGGTTAAATGTTTGTTTATGTTACTCACAGGAAGTCACATGTTTTTCATGTAACCAATGTTCTTTAGCTGTAGAATACCCGGGAATTTTCTCCCTGATCTAGGAATTTGATGGGACTAAAGTGTGTCAAGGTGTATTAGCATTTTATGGCTCTCTTCCCGTCTTTCTTTGGTATTCTGAAGAAGAGTAGCTATAATCTCTCTCTTCTAGTTTTGTCTTTGTAGAGTAAGGATGTAGTAGATTTTGCTCTGTTGCTATTTTCATCCCAGTTACCCTTTCCATGCTAGAATTTAGTAAAAACTTTATATTTTAATCACACATGGACTCTGAGTCTGAATTATTTTATTCCAGGACTGCTGGACTATCTTATCTCTGCTAAATACCATTTTTTCAATATCTCACTATCACCCAACAGTAAGTTTAGTCTTATTCACATTTACCGGTAGTTTACTTCCATGTGGCAGCTTCCAAAATGGCAAAAGCATATGGATCTTGTAGCTGAGGCCTTTTGTGCATCCTAGTCAGGGGACAATAAGATGAGAAGGAACCACAATAATAGGAATAGGACAGTTCTCTCAGTGAAGGAAGCATAGGTTTTCACAATTATTGGTATTTGGGGCTGGTGCTATTTAATTTGTTGATAAATGATCTGGAACTGGGGTGAGCAATGAAGGAGGATCTCTGCAAATTGGATGAGTGGTTAACAGTGTGGTGAATAAAGTTTAGTCTAGTTAGGTGATACATATTAGAACAAAAAATCCCAACTTTAAGTAGAAGAAGAGAAGAAGAGTTGTCTTCTATACTCCACTGTTCTCTACCCTAAGGAATCTCAAAGCAGCTTACAATTCCCTTCCTTTCCTCTCCCCACAACAGGCACCTTGTGAGGTAGGTGGGGCCGAGAAAGTTCTGAGAGAACTGTGACTGGCCCAAGGTCATCCAACAAGTTTCATGTGGAGGAGTGAGGAATCAAGCCTGGTTCTCCAGATTAGAGGCTGCCACTCTTAACCACTACACCATGCTGGCTCTCACGGTAATGGGGTCTGAACTTATTGAGATTGAGAAGGAAAGAGACATTGGGGTCAAGTGGATAGCTCAATGAAAATGTCGAAGTGTGCCATGAAGTGTGTGAAAAAAGAAAAAGTCTATGTTCCGTATTATTAGGAAAGGGATAGAAAATCACTGCCAGATTATGTAGTGAGGGACACAGAATTGGATGGCTTTAAAAGGGATTAGGCAGACTCATGGAAGATAGGTCTATCAGTGGCTACTGGCCACAGTGA